GGGAAGGAGCTTTTGAAATTCAGCGATTTCGAGCGGTTTGAAGCGGTACGGAACGGTTTCGATGATTGGTACCAACCGCTAACAACCGCAACCGACCGCTAGCAACCGCTAGGAGGGTGCTAGCGGGAGAACCAATCAAGCCCTTAATTTATACATTTTGCAAGACCAAAATCTTCTAATTGAAAAGAAAAACTTAACAAATAAAGAAAATATTATTCACAAAATCGTTAGATTTCAGAGGCTGCTGGTAGTTAGTTGTCGTGTTATTTGGTCATACACCAAATTTTTATATCAAGCGCGTTTCTGCTCATTCCCGGCTTGCTAACACCTAATATTGTTTCCCACCGTGAAAATAAAGGGTGAACTTGTTAACAATCGGCCAGGACTATGTTAACAAGTCACAAAATACATAGCTTTAAACTGAAAACTTATTGCATCTTTCTTTATGTAGATGATTAAGCAAAATAATTACAGAGAGAGGTTTTACTTTTATTAGAGAAAAAAATTGGACCTTTCGTAGCAACGACCTTTCATGAGTTCGTAGGGAAAAGGGAAATGGCATCTTGGGGATCGACTTGTAAGCAATACATGACAAGCCAAACTATATCTGACTAGATTTCAACTTAGTGCACACATGAGCATGGCAACTCAAACTTAAAAAACAAACTTTAATTTGATCACAAATCTTGATAACCACTGCCGCAAATATAGTTCACTTAAATTTTTTAAAATACACATTTAGATTAGTTAGACAGGTCAACATTCATTAAGCAATGGCTTAACTATATAAACCTATACTTGGAAGCATCTAAGATATCACATTTAATCTGAACCTCCAAAGACTAGCTTGAAGAGGATTAGTACAACAATATAAATAACAATTAACAGAATATGGCAAGTTTCAAGTTATGGGTTTGCCTTATATTGCTTCTACTCGAGATCTCGGTGCATCAATGCCGACCACTGGTCGCGGAAGAGAGCCGGTCTGATTCAGGGAACATAAGAAAGATTATGAGGGAACTTCTCAAAAGATCAGAAGAGCTGAAGGTAAGATCCAAAGGCGGCGAAACGGTTCTAGGCAATACCCTTGATTCAAAGCGGCTCAGCCCTGGTGGGCCGGACCCTAGACATCACTAAAGAGATGTGTAGTTTTTATAACCTTTCGGTGAGGTATTGAAACTTGTAACGCCAGCAGAGCGCTTTGCACAAGGGGTTATTTGGTGTAACTCTAAGGTTACCATCTTATCAACATTGAGTCAAATTAATCTTGAAGTATGTTCATCTAAAGTGAAGCGTACTAGATAATGTGCTTGTTTTTATTTAATCGGTTCTCTTTTGTGCTTCTAAAATTATGAGAAATTGGCATTTATCCTTTTCTTTTATTTCCTTGATTGTACCTGCCCTGATGGTTACATTACTATTTACCACCCTTAATTCTAAATAGATAAGGAAAAATATTATTATATCTTCTGAGAAAACAAATTTCGTCGTTGAACTTATCCACAATTAAGAAAATAAAAAATGTTTCAGGCTAAATGAGAAAATTAGTAAGTACTGGTTAATTATAATTAAGCTGATCATATGATCAAATTAAGACTGATTTCCACTAAAAGCATTTTAAACCATTGCAATGTTTTGTTTTGTTTGACGTACAATAAAATTCTGAGCTTTAAACCAAGTCGTCTTGATCCAGTGGTAAAGGAGAGAAAAGCCTTCGTCACCTCGGTTCGAGTAGTAGTAGCCACCGGGATTCGAATTGTAATATGATTTCTCCGAGCTCTAGAATTAGTTTTAAGACCTCAAAAGCCTTCAAAATCACCTGAGTTAAAAAAAAATCTGAACTTTACTTAAGTTTAAATTCTAAATTGATATTTTTTCCAAAAAAAAAAGTTTATCAAATGCTACACTTCTAATAAATTTTTTCTGCTGTTCGAATTAAATATTTCGGAAGATATTTTAAAAGCGAGGCTTTGATCAGCAGAGAAAGTAAAATTAAAGGAAGACCATATATATTAAATATTAGTGAGAAGTACGTACTCATATAATACATAATGGAATATAAAAATCAACTTACTCGAATAATCCCACCTTTGCATAGATGTATCATGTACGCCACGACAAAATTCGTAATCAATCTCAAGTACACATGCACGCATCACGCATGCATTAGACAACGATATGTCTCTCTCTGTATAACTTTTTTTTATCAAAGAAATATCGCAACTTATCGTTTTCTACCTCGTTGAACTGTCGCATGATTACTGAAAATAAGAGATTACCTAAAACTTAAATTAATTACAAAACTTTTATGGAAAACGAAAAATCAAATTAATTTAATAAAGGATACTCAAATTAATTTAATAAAGGATACCCTATATAATCGTATATATATATAAGGTGGATAATAAAATCGGTGAATCAAATCGGTTTCGTGGTTTAGACGTTCAAAATCGATATTAGTCGGTCAAATCAGCCAAATCGACCGGTTTAATGCAAAAAAATTTTATAATATAATATCGTTTTTGAATAAATAATAAAAATTAAGCAAAAAAATACTTGATCACTAAACTTGTAAACTATGAATTAACTATTCTCATGTTTTTAGTTACTAAGACAAATCTATTTAAGTTTTCATTAAATTATGTGTGAATATATTTAGTAAATTTGAATAGTTAACATTTTCAAAATTTCATATTTGATAACTAATGTTTTGTTATAAAATTATTAAAAAATAAGTAAATAATGTTCTCGCCTAGGCCCCGATAATCGATTTAGACGCTTCGCACCTATGAAATGTCTAGCTACCGTCTAACAATTTTTTGAACATCGGGTGGGTGTATTGAAGGAGAAATTTAGAGTGCTTTGAGTTTTTAACTAGATTTTACCCTGCGGTACACCGCAGATCGATTTTTTTATAACTAAAAATTTTTTTAGCAAAATTTTAAGTTGTATTTAATTTGTTAATATTGTTTATTTTGTTTAGTTTTTCTGATTTTATAATTAAATTTTGATTTTTAATTCTAAGATTTCATCCATAGTATATTGTTTAATATTAATATCGATCTAAACCCGTTGCACCATATAACCCCGTCCAGTAAAATTAAACATCTTTTGTTATTTTTTTTGAATAATATTTTATCCACTACGTGACGCAGATTCATGCGGATAAGCCCGTAGAGAGTTGCGGGTTTGCGTGTCGACCCGCCAAAAGAGAAGCTATCTTTTGAAACATTTTGTTTTATTTAGAGGTTTTGAGAAAGTATCCCTAAAAAATAATTTTTATTATATGAAAAAAAAAAAGTAGAAGAAATTGTAATATCAACATTCCCGATTTTTACATCACTCGTTACTATTAATTTTTTTTTTTGCAGATAAAAATCAGAAGTTAACTAAGTCGAGATTTTTAAAAAGATTGTGTAGAGATTTTTGGTAAATTGTTGAAAATATATTTGATTTCAAAATCTTTACTTAAATAGATAAGGAAAGATTTTGTAGAGACTTTTGCTAAATATATGATAAATGAATTTCATTTAAAAATCTTTACTTAAATAAAACAAATCTAAAAATTAATGCTAATGGCATGCCATTGTAAATACTTCTCAACTTCAGGATTTATTTGCTAATTGTGATCCAAAAATGTATATATAGATAAATTGTGAGATGATTTTGGTTAATTTTGATGAATTAGAAAATTTGTTATTAAAATTATGTAAAATTCCATTTGAAACAATGAGAGTTTGGTCTTTGTATTTTTAGCTAAAACAATTTCTAAAATCTAACCTAAAATCACTTAAATCACTTCAACTCCACTACTTAAAAATGTTTCAGTTGATTTGATTGTACATTTTAAAATTTTTAATCCAATAATATTTGATTTCAGAATTTTTTTAAAAATTCATGCTTGAATAACATAAAAATTGTCATTTTAATACAAATCACTCCAAACTTTTTATTGTATGTCTTGTGGATATGTTAGTATGTACTATTCCAACAAGAATCGGATAAGATTTAAACAAGTGACTAAAACTAGTAAACCTAATTAACAAGTAATTTAAGTGTCACTAGGATTTAATCCGCGGTACACCGCGGGGTCATATTTTATTTCTTTAATTAACAATGTTTAAATTTTTTTAAAAAATAGTATTCAAATTAGATGATATAAATTTTTGATGTTTTTAAGTTTGACCCGTAGAACATATATAATTCAGTAACATAGTATTGTAATTACACATTTAGAAGTGTCAAAAGAGATTAAAAGATTCAATATCCGTTGTTGCACTTCTTTCTCTGTTTGTATAACCCGTCAAAATAAAAATTAGAATTTAATATTGTCATTTTCTCTTTACAAATTTATTTTATGATGTGTTAGTATTACGATTCTCAATTTTTTTTATATGCAAACAACATCAAATGCATGGAGAAGAAGGTATGATACATTTCTGCTTTATATTTAAATATTCAATATATTGATAAAAACTGAAATCAAATTTAAAAAAAAAAAACTAAAAATTGAAACTCTAACATCAATCCGACGACTACTTCTATCTCCTCGATCATCTCTAAGCCTAGAAAAAAACAAAAATAATCCAAATCAGTACCTTCCATACAATCGAGAAAGGAGTCTCTAAACTGAAAAGATGATTTCAATTCAAGAACAATCACCTATTATGGTCACGATCACGGCATTGGCCATAGTCATCATCATCTCTTCTACCACGTTCTCTTCTTTCACTACGCTCGGTTCTATGATCCATGACGACTGTTTATATGATGACGCTCACAATCTCTGTATGTTCTTTCCATCTATATCGCTTTTTCTAAGAGAGACTTTAGAGTCATTTTTCTGTCCTTATCACGGCCATTCTCTCTTTCTTTATCATTACTTTTTGAAGTCTCTCTTCCATGGTCACGTGTTTCTCTCTACACAATTAAAAACACAACTCATAAATTAGTTTTAAGAATCAATGAAACTAAACGAAAACCATACACAAAATCAATGAAACTAAAATAGATTACAGCTAGTAGATAAACTAATGATATAAGAATAACAAAATTGTACTATATTTATAGTGTTAAGAGAGTTGTTTGTAATTTTCGGGTTGATAGAATATAATTTCTCTAATAAATAATGAAATCAAATCTAAACGATAAAATTTTTTTTTGTAAAGAACGCATTTGGATAGTAATTATTATATGTGCATGTATACTATTAAATAGGTATTAAAACGGAAATGTAGGATACTATTTAGATTTTTTATAGAAATTTCTTAAACTAATTAGATTCCAAGATTTGTTACGTGAGAGTAATTAGGGGGATCACATTAAATAATCAAAATTTTGAAAAGAAAGATGCGAGATTATTGCAAAAGATTAGAGCAAATATTTTTAATCCGGCGAATATATTTAATGTTTTACTTGGAGATGAGTAAATAATTTATTGATTTTAATTCTCTTGTTGTAGATATGGTTAGTAGGATTATCGTAAATGTTAAGTTGGTAGTAATTAAATGAGATTTGAGATCTCGGATGATATATTTTTCAAAATATAGTCGAGTTAATATTGAGAGATTTGGGGAATAATTGGTTAGTAACTAATTGTTTAAAATATGGATCTTTAATTCAAAACGTGTAATCAATAATAACAACCATTTAATGTCTTTTTTTTGTGCAAAATTAAAGGAAGATCCGTTTAAAACGATTTCGGGTCAAAAAATAAACAAAAACCCGACCCACCAGTGGCAATCCATTGTAAATACATTCCAACTCCAGGATTTATTTGCTAAAAGTCATCCAAAAATGTATATATAGATATTACCAGTCGAATCCAAACAATTTGACCTATTGTCAATAATACAAGTCAGGATTCTGCAATATTTATAAAATATGCCTACTCGATGAATATTATTAATTATGTAAAATGGTTTCGAATTCATAATTAGAGATTTATTTAGGCACAATTTATTAATGGTTTAATTAGTAGTTCAGAGCTCTCTATTATATTTCAGCCACAAAATAAAAATTTATCTCTAGTGGTTTCTAAATACACATAGATGTGATGGATCACAAGGTTCAATCTAGATTCTAGTTCGGATTTAATCGGATGCATCCTTAATTTCTCAAAGAAATATAGGTCTTAAACGTATTTTTGTGGTTCGGTCCAAAATCATATTTTTATTTTTGATATAGGAAAAAGGAATCACTGAAAACAATTTTAAGATATGCTTTAATTTTCTGATCGATTGTTATAGTTCGTTTTTTATTCATTTCGTATTAGGTCATCTCTCTTAACTTTGCCGAATCGACAATATAACACGATAGGTTTAGAGAAAAGCACACAACCTTTGCTGCTTTATAATGCTTACCAACTCGAATGGCATTTGCA